CACACAAAGTACACCCTCATTCCAGATTGATACCAATCATGTCACTGCTAATCAGGGTGCTTGGTGAACAAAGCTGTCAGAGAAATCCAATCATATCACAGCTGATGGAATCGTTTACTGTGGATGAGGATGGAAGATGAAGTACATGGCCGCCAATATGAATCCACCAGTTATTCTCAATTCTTTGAAAATTACATATGTGAGGTTTCTGGAGCATAGTGATAACATGTTCTCAAAATTATCAAAACACATTCCTGTAGAGTTATGCAGAGTTGAGGAGTTTAAGACATTTCATCGCTTGTCTCACAGTCCTTGTCAGCTCTAGAGAGCGGTGGGAATCCAACTCCCTCAAATCAAGAAGTCATTAAATACAATGTGGAGCTCTTCAATTTGGGATTTATTCATCAAACATCTCTCCTTGGTTAGGGGGAGCTCATGGTCATGCTTAAAAGAAAACAACATTGATTGTCTGTAGATGACAGGATGCAAACCTTGTCTCTGTTGTCAAAATCAGACAGACACCAAACCAGTCTTCCCAATCCCTTCCCTTAGAGGTGTTGGGAACAATGGCAAGCTACTCCCACCTTTGCTACATAGTGTGCAAAGCCATTATTTCCTCAGCTACAAGAGGACTTTTGTCAGAAAAAACACCTAACACTACAGGCAGACAGGAACATTGATATTGGCAACCCAGGATTATATTCAATGGCAATTTTTTTAAGTCCAATGTCAACATTTTTTAAACTGTCGCTTCCTACAATAATTCCTCATGGAAATTTAAGTATGGTTACGGTCAGACAGCGCTCATGGTTATGTCAAATAAACTGTATTTAAGGTACAACAAAGGTTAGGCAATTGAAACGTGGTTAAGGTTAGGGAACGATCGTGTACAGTAATTGCAGTGAACAATCTCCTGCATGACAGTCAGATGTGCTATACACTTACCATCCTGACCTCCACACCCTTACTCTCTGTTTTGCAGCATAAACAGCACACTACTTCCCACATTGGCACTGGACATCAACACTAAATGTACATTGTTATTGTCTCTTTCTTACTTACTTTGTGTATTAATTACTAGATACTTGGCTGTACTACTTGGATAAATAAAACAATACGAGTGAATTGTAGGAAACAAACCATATTAGACCTCTTTGTTTTCTGGAATAACTCAACCTTTCCCTATGCTTTATAATCAGTGTTACAAAAAGAGCAGTATAATGGCTTTAATAACTACAGTCAACTTTGGCAGTGCCATCCATCTCCATATGGCTGATCAGGCTGGGTGCCAGTTTGTCTTCCTAAAAAAAAATCATGCCTTTTAATTACATAAAACACAAACATGGCACAACCATATGTTGGTACGATCCCAAGGCTCACCATATTTTAGAGTCCAGTCATTTCACAGATGCTCACACTCACAGCTTCTTTTCTTCAAGAAAGACTCCATAACAAGTGGGGGGAAAAAATCTACTTAAAACATGGCTTTCAACAAGAGCACACAACCCCATCTGACTATTCTTTTATATCAAACAGAACACTTGTTTAGTGCTCCACGCTGATGATGCCACCAGTCTTTACCAGTTGTATCCAATTAATCAAGTGCAGCATATTAAGGCTGTAAAGAACTCTCTAAATTACCTCTAAAATATAATTGCATTGCATCAAAGCTGATCAAAACATCTCGTCAGTTTTTGGAAGCCTTTGGAGGGCCAAAAATAATTATGTTGCCAGGCCTGTGGGCGCAGAGTTGTTTGGTATTTACTGTCTTGAGTCCAAACTGAGCTCATGCCAACCATTAACCAGCAGCAGTTGGTCAATATAAGGTAGAAATACATGAAAAATGTGCTTACTGTACTGCACTGTGACTACTATACTGATCAAATGAAGACAGTTGAAGTATTTTGGCGCTGTATGGCAGCTTTTCCAAGTTTTGTCTGGATAAAATATCATTTTGTAGTTTAGTTTGGTTTATAAACTCATGTGGTAGTGATAGTTAGATGAGACAACCCTTTCTTCTGTGATAAGATAATCATTTTTCATGTACACTTAAAATGTTTCCGTCTATTTTTCACATTTATCTTGTCGGGCTGCAATATAGTCTTTGCTTTGAAATGCAGCTACATATTGAGTTGCACTTACTGGTGTAACTAGTAAAATATATTTTTCAGAAATGTATCCCTCAGATTCTTCGCACACAGTGACACAAACATACACATATAAAAACAAATCAAAGAATATGTTGCTCCCGAAGCCCTGATGCAATTTCTGGTGCCCTACAGACGCAACCTAGCTCCTGTTTTGAGATCCACCTTCCTCAGGGTTAAAAGCTGACATGACTGATATAACAGGTGCTGCGGTGTGCTGAGAAGACACCAGGGCTATGTAGAGAAGGAGAAAAGCAGATTTAAAAGGTTGATAAAAGAAAACAGAGAAGAAATGGATTAGCAATGGATAGATGGAGGGTTAGAAGAGAAAAGGTGAAGGGGAATTAGAGATGAGAGGAGACGAGGGGGCACTAGAGGGAGGAATAAAAATGGATTATGAATGGAGAGAGGGAGAGAACATGAAAAATGGAGAAGATGGCTGCTCCGAAACAAGGGGAGAAAAAAGAAAAAAGTCAAAGAAAAAAAGGATTAGGGATGGAGGGATCTAGTGGAAGAGAGATGAGATGGGGAAAGGGACAAGGAGAAGAAGATTAAGGTGAAGTGATATGCTTTTATCTTATAGTGTCTGGAGAGCAGACAGTAACTAGCCATACTGTGTGTGTGTGTGTAGGTGTGTGTGCGCGCCCATGAGGGTTTGTGGACCTTTATGATTCCAAGTGTTTTTCTGTTTGTGTGTTTCTCTAAGTGTGTGTTTGAGTGTTTTTTTACTTGTGTTTGGTTACATCCTTCTCTTCATGCATCTCTATGTGTCCACCTGTCTGAATCTCTGTGTGTGTGTCTAAGAGTCTAAATGCCACTCCATCCTTCCCTGTTATGTAACAAAAAAAAAAAAAACCCACAAAGATACTTCTGAATGTCTGTCCTTTGTTTCTTTCCATCTGCAATCCATCCATCTGCTCCTCTGCAGAAGAAAGAAGAGAGGGGGTAAGGGAAAGTCAGAAGGATGGATGGATAGGAGGAATGAGTGGAGGTTCCGGGGTTGTTGGGTTCATGGATGGAGGGATGGTTGTTGGCGGAGGGGGGAGGGGGG